GTCCTGCCCCGGGGATGTGCACGAAAGGGCTACAGCCTCTGCCTCTCAGCAGGCTGATTGCCCACCCAGCCCGAGGAAGAGCTTCACAGCAGGCGTGTTTCTGGGGCTGGTTTGGATTGCTGGGACAAAAGCAGTCAGAGCTGGCTGAGGGAGACAGGGAGGTTTACACCGTGCCTCAGGAACTGGACCCATTAAGCTCAGCCAAACTGGGAAGGAGGTGGGTGCTCACCTGCAATATGGAGCCTTCCTTGGCACTGGTCACCAGGACTGAGGGAGCTTCATGGGCCTTTGGGTTTCAAATGCCTCCAGGGTTAATGCACTGGAAAGTGACTTTTCTGAATCACTCCTCAAGGCTTTGTTTTGCCAAGAGCCCACGGGAATCTGCAAACATTCAGGACCTTGCTCAGCTGGTTGCAAGCAGAGGAGACACTGGCTGCAAAATCAGGTGTTTCTTTGACACTGTCCTGTTGTCCTCCTGTTCCCTGGAGCCCAGCAGCAGCAAAGAGGGGCTGCAGCTCAGGTCCCACAAGACCCCCAGCCCAAGGTTAACTGCCTCTTCTTCCTGCTGGCACAAAGCCTTCCCTCTCCACTGCTGTTTCACCTCCAGAGCTGTGCTCAGACCCCGCCTGGGCTGTAAGATCACTTTCTGTTCACAAGAAATAAAGCAAAGGCAGGTGAACAATGGGCTACAGAAACAGATGCAAGTGCTTCTGATGAGACTCAAGTGCCCTGTCCAGTTTGGAGATGCACTTCAGGACAGCACTTCTGAGCAAGCCAAAAGGCAGGGAGCTTTTTGCTGTCCTTTGAAGGCCCAGTGCTGCAGGGGATGCTGATCAAAGCTGAAGCCATTCTCTCCTTTGGTGCACTCCCATGTTTTACTGTTTTGCAAAACGCCTGTGGCTGAACAGTTAATGGAGGCATCTGCTGCACTGGCAGAGTTCACTGACTTAATTAAAGACATCTAACAACTCTGCAGCTGCATGGGAGAGGCCATGGGTACTCGCAGGGCTGAAACTAAATATCCTAAGCACTGAAGGCAAGAGTCCTGCTGTGCAGAAAGGGGCACCTGTGTCCCAGCTTATGCCTTCCCAGTGGGAGCTCTGGGCACCTGTGTCCCAGCTTATGCCTTCCCAGTGGGAGCTCTGGGCACCTGTGTCCCAGCTTATGCCTTCCCAGTGGGAGCTCTGGGCACCTGTGTCCCAGCTTATGCCTTCTTCACCTGGGATGTGCAAGCAAAGGCTACAGCCTCTGCCTCTCAGCAGGCTGATTGCCCACCCAGCCCGAGGAAGAGCTTCACAGCAGGCGTGTTTCTGGGGCTGGTTTGGATTGCTGGGACAAAAGCAGTCAGAGCTGGCTGAGGGAGACAGGGAGGTTTACACCGTGCCTCAGGAACTGGACCCATTAAGCTCAGCCAAACTGGGAAGGAGGTGGGTGCTCACCTGCAATGTGGAGCCTTCCTTGGCACTGGTCACCAGGACTGAGGGAGCTTCATGGGCCTTTGGGTTTCAAATGCCTCCAGGGTTAATGCACTGGAAAGTGACTTTTCTGAATCACTCCTCAAGGCTTTGTTTTGCCAAGAGCCCACGGGAATCTGCAAACATTCAGGACCTTGCTCAGCTGGTTGCAAGCAGAGGAGACACTGGCTGCAAAATCAGGTGTTTCTTTGACACTGTTCTGTTGTCCTCCTGTTCCCTGGAGCCCAGCAGCAGCAAAGAGGGGCTGCAGCTCAGGTCCCACAAGACCCCCAGCCCAAGGTTAACTGCCTCTTCTTCCTGCTGGCACAAAGCCTTCCCTCTCCACTGCTGTTTCACCTCCAGAGCTGTGCTCAGACCCCGCCTGGGCTGTAAGATCACTTTCTGTTCACAAGAAATAAAGCAAAGGCAGGTGAACAATGGGCTACAGAAACAGATGCAAGTGCTTCTGATGAGACTCAAGTGCCCTGTCCAGTTTGGAGATGCACTTCAGGACAGCACTTCTGAGCAAGCCAAAAGGCAGGGAGCTTTTTGCTGTCCTTTGAAGGCCCAGTGCTGCAGGGGATGCTGATCAAAGCTGAAGCCATTCTCTCCTTTGGTGCACTCCCATGTTTTACTGTTTTGCAAAACGCCTGTGGCTGAACAGTTAATGGAGGCATCTGCTGCACTGGCAGAGTTCACTGACTTAATTAAAGACATCTAACAACTCTGCAGCTGCATGGGAGAGGCCATGGGTACTCGCAGGGCTGAAACTAAATATCCTAAGCACTGAAGGCAAGAGTCCTGCTGTGCAGAAAGTGTAGCTCTGCAGCCAGAGAATCACATGAAAGTAGAAGTGGAGCCCAAAGATTAAGGATGGACCAGAGCCAGCTTGCAATGTGTGCTGCCAAGGCCTCCCTGTGCTGGAGAACTGTACATCCTCAGTGCACTCATACGGCTCAGAATGGTCAGATTTGCAGCAAGCCCAGGACATTCCTTGCCAGTAGGGATGGTTTTACCTGGAAAACATGTTCAGTATCTTTTCTCACTGAGTGAAAATAAGTTAGCTGGTTTGAAAAGGCAGGTGGGAAAACGAATCCTGTACCAACTGGTTATCAAGTTCTCCTCTGCATGGGGCCATTTTCTCTCCTGGTGAAATGAAGAAACATTTCTCTCAGGGGTGTATTTCTGGTATCACTGCATATTTGAGCTGATCGGGGACTTTGCAAGCTGTTGTTTTAACAACCCACCGAAGAGGCTCACAGAACAGGCTGGTGCTTTCTGGTTAGAGGTGTGTCAGCAGACACCAAAGGCTTCCAGTCGGGCTGGGGAGCGTGTGCTGCTTTCCTGGGGCTGGGGGCTGCTGAGCTGTGGTTGCTCCTGGGTGTGCTCTGACCCCGCAGGGAGTGGAGGGGCAGGGACAGCCCTGCCCTCCTGGAGCTGCCTGTGCAGCCCCTCAGCACCAGCAATGTCCCTGCTGGCCAGCGGGGACGTGCAGCAGACAGATCAATGCTGGGCTGCCTGGGGAGGCAGGGATTCACCAATGCACTTCTGTCAGCAGAGACACTGCTGGTGTGAACGGCCTCTGTTCTCAGCAGTCTCCGTGAGGAGAGGTAAGAAGGGGAAAGGGCAGGTTAAAGGGATCAGCACAAAAAGAGCTGCAGGTGAGGAAAGAAATTTTGGCTTCAGGTTAGAAGCTGGTGGGTCTTGATGTCCCGAGAGCAGCATCTCTCCTGCAGAGGAAGGGCTTCCCTCCTCCAGGGGCAACTGCCCTTTCCCAGCTCCTCCCCAGTGCGGGTGAGCACGAGGCACAGGAGAGGGGATGTTATCCCAGGCACTGCATCGTGTCCAGAGGTGACAGGACAGTCACCAGCACCAGCCAGTTCTGCTGGGCAACGTGTCACCTGGAACCCGCAGGCGTGGGAGCCGCGTGTCACCCCTGTGCTGCTCCAGCTGTGCTGCCCCAGCTGTGCTGCCCCAGCTGTGCCACACAGCGATGGGGCACCTGCAGCAGGTCCTGGGCCTGCAGGAGAAAAATCCTCCCTGGAACCAGGCGCTTGGGATGGCTTCTGACTTCTGAAGGGTCTCCTGCCCTCAGTTTTGCACCCTTACCCACTGTGGGACAGGGGTGGGCAAAGGGCAAAATAAGCCACGTTTAGGAAGAAAGCAGCACACAGCCTTTCCAGACACAAACTCCTCCACAAATGGGAAAATTATCCGTTTCTACAGCACAGAGAAGTGGTGGAGGTATGTATAAAGAAAGAACAAGCACGTTTTCCTTTTTCTGCATTCCCATACAGTATCCTATCACCCGTTATTAGAGAATTCAAGCACTTTTATTTAAATAAAAAGCAAAAGTTAGTTATCAAAGTGTCAGGCCTGGAGCAAGTTTGGCTCGCTCTGTTCTCTTCTAGAGCTCTGCTGCCTCCCTGCAGCACCTCTCCTCCCTGCAGCACCTCTCCTGCCTGCACAGCTCTGGAGTCATGCACTTCTCTGCGTGCCCCTGCCCATGTGGAAACCCAAGTCAGGCTTCAGTCTGGTCCACTAGAGCATTCTGAGCCCCAAGACCTGGTGGTAGCTGTAGGCAGCCCAAACAGGAGAAGTGATGGCAACACACATCCACACTGATGAGGCGCCAGAAGATACTTCTACTTGGACAAAGGCTGGTGGGGATAATACCAGAGGATGAAGTTTGGATGCAGAAGGCCCAGTCATGAGCCAGCAGCACAGGGCAGGTTAGTCAGGCTTTTCTGGCATTTATTAGAATCTCCCCTGCAGCAGGGAGGAGGTTCCAGCCCGGCTCCTTGCTCTTTGCCCAAACCTGCTCTCTCCAACTCACGGCTTTCCCTCTTCAAGGTGCCACCTCTCCCCCAGCTAAGGGAAGGGAACAGACTCCAGCTGGCTGGCTTTGGGAGAGCCAGGGAATCCAGTAGAGGTGGGCTGCACAGGAAATACCAGAATAAACTGGGAAATAGGTTTAAGGCAGGATCTGGTAGATCTTTGGGGTGAATTGTGGTCATTTTGCCTCCCACCACGATTTGCCATATGGGCTGTAGATGCTGCTCCCTCCCTTCCCCAAGGACGGGCTGGAAGAGATGTAGGGCTGTGAGGATCTGAGGGCAGAGCAGAATGAGACAGGCCTTTATGCAGCAGTGTGCAAAGCAAAGCAGGTGGGTAAGGATGGGAGTGAGTAGGGGGTGGGTGGTGGCAGTGGCTGCCTGCAGCAAGAGGGAGATTGAGATCAATCATCAGCCCAAGTCATTCTCTGCAAAGGCCCAGGAGGTCAGTGACGTTTTTACCAGCACTTTGGTTTTGATTAGAAAAGACAGTGCAATTACAGCACCTGTTTCACAAGATCAGCCTCCACTGCTGGGGGCTCCACAGCAGGCACTGAGGGGATCACAGCTTGTTGCTTGGCTGGCTGAGGCAGGACACCCAGTCTTTGAGGGGAGGGCTACCCAGAGCTACCAGCTTTTTCAGCAGGGCACTGGGCTGTAGCTCAGGAACATCAGGGTGGGCCTCAGAGTATTTCTGCAGTTTAGCCAGAACACGAGGGAGCCCAACGGTGGAGGCATAGAACATGGGCCCCCCCTTGTGCCTTGGCCACCCGTAGCCATTGATATAAATGACATCCAGGTGTTCTGGGCCAGATGCTATTCCCTCAGCCAGGATCTTAAACCCTTCATTGATGAGGGGAAACAAGCAGCGCTCCAGGATCTCCTCCTGGTCTATAGAGCGGGTCTGGATGCGATGGGTGTCCCTGTACTGGGCCAGGAAGCTGTGGAGCCATGGATCTGGCTTGGCTGTCCTGCCCCCAGCCTTCTCATACTGGTACCAGCCTTTCCCAGTTTTCTGGCCAAACCTGCCCTGCTCACAGAGGAGGTCGGGCAGGGGGCTGTAGCGCTGGCCGTGCCGCTGGCGGGCAGGTGTTCCTGCAGGCAGCGAGGGCCCCGTGAGGCCCTGGCCCTGTCGAGACCTCCAGCCCACATCCAGCCCAGCCAGGTCAGACATTCTGAAAGGTCCTATCTTAAACCCGAAATCTTCAAGCACCTGATCTACAGCTTCTGGTCTGCTTCCTTCCTCTAACAGGAAGACTGCCTGTTGAACGTAAGGAAACATCATTCGGTTCCCAACAAATCCAAAGCAATTCCCTACCACCACTCCAACTTTCTTCAAGGTTTTGGCCAGCTGCATAGCAGTGGCAATGGCCACAGGGGATGTGTGGTGGCCATAGATTATTTCTACTAGCCTCATCACATGAGCAGGGGAGAAGAAGTGTGTGCCAATGACCTGCTGTGGGTGGCTGGTGGCAGAAGCTATCTCATCGATGTTCAGGGCTGATGTGTTTGTACACAGAAAGGCCCCTGGCTTGCAGATTTTTGATAGCTTCTGGAATATCTCCTTCTTTAGTGCCATGTTCTCAAACACAGCCTCGATAACTAGATCTACATCCCGCAACACGTCAAAGTCCACAGTGAAATGGAGATGTGCAGGGTCATGGAAAGCCAGGGTTTGGGTGCCCTGCTCCATTTTCACAGCCTCACGTTCCAAAAGGAGCATCACAGCTTTTCTTCCAGTGTTCAGATACTCCAGATTCTGCTCCAGGGCTACCACGGGTATGTTGGCTTTAACCAGTGAAGTCACAATGCCTCGGCCCATTGTTCCCAGCCCTGGGGATAAAAGTGAGACAGAATCAGAGACTAGGAATAGAAAATGTTACAATTAATCACTCGACAGAACCACTACCCTGTATCTCCAGGGGAAA